CTTACGGACAAAAGGCTGCTATGTTTCAAGTTTGTAGTAAGGAAAGCATTTTGAAGATAATGAAACATTAGTCTGAACTTTGCATGTTGCGTTCAGCTGGGTGGTTGGAAGCATACCCTGAAGACAATGGATCAATAGATGCCATTTCACCCTTTGGTGCAAAAGAAGCTGTCTTTGAAAGAGGCTACTCATTATTGCTTTCTTCTCTTTCTGAGTAGGTTTCCAACCAATCATAATTTTTGGTACCCAATGTCTGCATCCCTAATCCTGCAAAGACCTGAAGTAACAGCAATGCTTTCCTTTACCTTTGAAGTCTATGCTTTGGATTCAGAGCCAATCTTGGGGACCCTTTCAGAGAAATTTACAAGGTTTAGATGAACATTCACAGACCATTGTAGCTGCAACTAAGGGTTTCATTTCAGTGTATAGACAGTAGTGGATTAGCACTGATATACATTTTGACCTTTGATCTCCATTTGTATCTTCAGAGGAAAATGCTGGTTTTGTTTGTTTCCATACTATTGTCTCTATTATGTTAGCATTCTCAATTACAGTTTCTCATTTTTAAGGTTCTATCTTCAGTTTTGAAGTATTTTGAATGCATTGAAAGCACTAACGTTTACAACCTAGCAGTAGCCTTGGGAGATAAAGGGTAATTTATTTGTGTAGGGAAGAGTTCATTTCCTAGACTGATGCTCAAAAGAAACCAAGTGCAGCCTTTGTCTTAATAGTTGAAAATTCAAAATAAAAAAGAGAGCTTGTGAAAAATGGCCCAAACAGACTAGAGCTACAGTGGATTGCAGAAATTGGATTTGGTTAGCTATAAACATCATTAGCTGAAAGCATTCTAGCTTACCATGCGGTGTGAGCTCTCATAGGCTGGGATGTGATAATGCTTTGCTCTTTTACGTTTTAACTCCTTGTGGAGATGCTAAAAGCCAGCTGAATATAGGCTTTGTAGAAGCTAAATTAACCATGCATTCCCTGAGGGCTTATGGCAAACCGTGAGGTTTATTTGGTGGTGGAGCTGCTGAAAATAACATGACAGCAACCTAAAATGCTGCTTATTAACTGCATTAGAATTTTGAGTCTTTTGAGGTTGTATTTATTTGTGTGTAGCAGATTTTGATTACTTGTAAACATGGGTTGTGTATCCTTCATATTGTGAACTATCATTTTTTTATTTGATGTAAATGGTATAAGCAAACTAGACGGTGACATTATGAACTTGCTTACAAAACACTGATGTGGTTTAGAATTTTTGCACCATTTTTATTTTCCCAAGGCACTAGCTCGTGCACATAATGTGGAATTGTATTCATTTAATCCACTGGGTAACATTACTTGACCTCAATCTTCGTCGTAAGTGGGTTGGAAATAGTCAATAAGCAGGCATCCCCATACCAATGAAACACTTAAACTCATCCACATGGGACCTTCGTAAAATTCAAAGAGGACATGTACATCTGTGACGTCTCTACAGAATAGGTCTAATAAGGGGTCTCTTGCTCTCTGTGTACAGCTCACTTGAAACCAGTAAACCTGCATTCTCACTGCATGCAAACACTATTTGATGAATGCCTCAACCAAGAGGTTGTTTCCCAATCTGGAGCGTTCAGATTTTGCATTTTATCTGACATTCTTGATGTGCTTTATAAAGCTGAGATGTCCTTTGTTATTCCACTATGTCTCCTATCTTCATTTTTTTCTTTGTTTGTATATAAAACATGCTAAGAAATAAGGGGAAAAAGTGCATACAGGTTAAAGGCTGGAAGGATTTTCAATAGAGAACATATTTAATTGCTTATTGCATAGCATAGGTGGCTACTTCCCTTTTTTTTTTTTTTCTATCTCTTCTACTTTCTCTACTCTTCAATATTTTTGAAAAACATTTCAAAGGTGTAATTTTGGGGGCACATTTTCAACTTTTAGCCCAAACAAAAAAATGCACTGTGGTGAATAAGTCGGTAGATTTGAAGCTTGGTGTTTAGAACCGCTGTGTAATACACCGCAGAGCAACTAATAACACCATCACATGCTGTGTAGTTAGGGCTTGTTTGTCTGCGTTTTGCAGTAATTGAATTTCATATATATGTTGAAGATAGCAAAACTGATGCATTTCCTCCTCTCCCACTCCTCCTTTTTTATTAATAACTTTCAGTAGAGATCACTTGCATCTTCAGTAAGACTTTCAGCACTTCTGCATTTATTTTCCTCTTTGGTTAAAATTCATTGTAGATAAAAAGAATCCAAAAAGAAATACAATAAACATTTGTGTTAATTATATCATTTCCTCCTACTCTTCTCCCCTGCAACATATGTTATCCTCTCTCTATGCATCTCTATTGATTTTTTTTTTTATTATTATTTTTATTAGTGCTTGATACATATGTAATCAAAGACCACAAATTATGCTCTGATGCTACAAATATGACCCTATTTCTGCACTCTTTTATCAGCTTAAATATATCTAGATGTAGGCAGAGGAAGTTACTCTGTGCATCTAAATACAGGACTTTCATTTAGTCTGCGTTCCCTACTTCAGTCTGAGTCAAATCTCATGTTATCCTTTGCACTGGACCTGTTTTGCAATTTTTTATTTAATCCTCTGGTTATTTCTTGGAATATGATCCATAGCAAAAGCTCTGGAGATTCATCAGTGTTCTCTGACCATGCCTGTGACTTTCTATTACAACACTTGGTATTTCATGCATCTGTGTTTTTTTTCTGCCTTCATGGACAAAGCAGATTTCTCCATTTACTCAAATACTAATATAATGATACTTGATCAACAGAGAGAGTGTGAAATGAGGTGACGTTTTCCCATTTCAAAAATGGGAGTGGAGGATGAGGTTCATATATGGGGCTGAGGTCCCTGGCAACTAAACTTGCCTACACGCACTGCTAAGATGCCACTTCAGTTTTGGTGGAATCACATGCTTGATCAATTATCTATACATTACACCTTTGAAATGTTTTTGAAAAACATTGACCCTTTCACATTTTTTTTCTAGTGGGACCTGCACTCAACTGCTGAATCAGGAAGAATATTTTCTCTAAACAAAGCACAAGTACATGATAGAAAAGCTATATTACTTCCAAAATAGAAATTAATTATTATACTTCTCCAAAACTCAGTTTTCTTCTGACTTTGTTCCATGATATCTCAAGGCTATGCCTAATAACTGCTACAACCCCATTATAAAGAATTAAAAATCTTTCAGCATTAATTTACATTCCCTCCCCCCCCCCCCCCTATTTATATGCCTTGGTCTTGCTCATGTATACGTTAGGGGAAGTTTCTACATCTGACTCATGAGGACAACTTGGTGGAGGGTCAGGGTGTAACGTCAGCTTTGAACCTGGTATTCTGGCTGCAGTGATCTGCATACCTGATGTAGCCAGTAGTAGTCAGGCCAGGATGCGATATGAGCCCTCTTCTTTTGTGACAGGAGATGCTGCCACTGCTGGAGGCTTATACATACATGTGTTAAACCTCTGCTGTGGCATATGGTGGCTTTTCAGTTACTGAACTATTGAAAAGAACCAAATAACTGCCTGAACTTACTAGTGTGTGTCAGTGAAAGATGCAGAAAGTACTCTGTGGTATAATGCCTACAGAAGCCTGTCAGTGCTATGTGTGGGGGCTGTTCTTATGCTGAATTCTATCAATGTATTTTTCAAGTGTTTGTTTGTTTTTTTTTTTCTCCTGAGATTAGTGATAGTAGAAATAAGATCTTTAATATAAAGTATAGAAAGGAATGCAATTTACCAGTTGTACGTGGCAAATGTATAAACTGTGAATCTGACATGGTATTGAATGTTCACTAAATGCAAATACTGTCAAGGTTGGACAAGTGCCTGTTGTGTTTTGATGACAATAATTAGTGAGGGTTCTAATGTGTGTTAAATCTCTCTGGCTATTGAACACAGACACGCTATATGTGCTTTCAGAAAGTTTCTAGAACTTCCAATAATTCTTTGAAGTATGAAGTTAGCTCTTGCTCATCATCAGTGAGCTGTATACTGACCTGAGGCAGATAAAGAGTTATCTTAATGTAAGAGAACTTGGTGTCTCACAAGTTAGCATTACATATTTCTCTCCTGACATAGTTTTGAAAATATATTAAGAAAAAAAAAACCAACTGAACAGCACAAGTGATGAGGCAGCCCACTGCTCCTATTTCATCCTCCTCCTGAAAAGATAGTATCGCTTATATAACACATTCAAAGGAGCACGTAATTCATTATGTATGGTTAGTCAGCCATGTGCATTTTTACATTTCTGCCTGTAGGTAGGCTGAACACCTGGTGACATGGCAGCATATTTAAAACGCTGTTTAGAAAATCCACAGCACAGCTCTGAGCAATTTCAAAATGGTTGAATTATAGACAAAATAACCCCAGCATCCCTTCTGACAACTTCCTTCATAGGAAGGCATTAGTATGGGGAGAAACAAATACTTTTTGTCCCTGAGAGATGGGTAGCTTGTGCTGAAAGCTGCAGCATGCTATCCGACTCTTGTTCTGTACAGCAGTTTACCTAAGACAGTCTTTCTGTCTTAAAACTTCCAGCTTCTTTTGAGAAAGCAGATAGCTTTCATCAGCCAGGTGCTGAACAGAGGTTTTGATGTTTTAAAGCAAACTGTTCAGTGCTCTTAAAAATGGTAATGTGGGGAAAAAATACAAGTATCTAAAGACAGAAAATGTTAAACGAGTACAGCATACAGAGGCAGAGTGAATATTTTGAGGAATACTCTAACAGGAGTGGGAAGAAACAAGAATCCTGGAGCGGATGCTGGAGCAACGGGTGATGTAAGGATGACTCAGCCCGCGTTCGGCTCATCTCCAGGTTTTGCCATGCTTATTTACATTAAAGTTCAATTGTGCTATTCTTAAGTCTGTGTGTTTAGTGGAGAGGAAGGTGAGAAAGAAGCAGAGGGAGAGAAGAAGAGAAAGGAGGGAGGGAAGGCTTTAAAACGCGACAACAACAAAAATACCTGGACCAATCCCTCCTGCTCCCCACGCCGCTCGCTCCGTGGAGGAGCTTGTCATCCTATGCTCGCTCGATCGAGGGGATTCTTCTGCGAGCGCAAGTTAATAATTTATTCACAGGCTCGAGTCGGTTAGCCCCGCATTGATTCACTTATGCTGCGTTTCTTTTCATTCACGAGCCTTCGCTAGTCCCCATCTCTCGGATAGTGCCTCGCTGCAGCGCTCCGGCGTGGGAGGAAGCAGCGAACGTGCCGCCGTGCACAAGGACGGGCCGTGCGGGACGCGGTTCCATGTGCGAGCCTCGCCTAGAGCCGGGGCCCGCCTCGCTCCGGCATCCCGCTGCCTGCCGGCACTGCCGTCTCGGCGGGGCTCGGCGCTCCGCTCCCGGCGGGGCGGGGGGTTTCAGCCCAGGGCTGGGAGGGGGCCGAGCACAGCCGCGCTGCCCGGCCTGCACCCGCCCGTCATGCGGCGCTGCCCCGCCTGAATTGGCCGCGTCCCCGCCGGGTGGGCACAGCCTCCCCCCCCTCCCCCTTCAAGCCGCCCTGGCTCAGCCCCCGGCAACGCGCGGCGTTCTGCTCTCCTCTCCTCCCTGCAAGGGCTCAACTCCACTTTCAGCTCCTTCAGACTTTGGCTGCTCTTGCCATCCGGAGGCTCCCTCCTGCCGGTCCGGCTCCTCCTGTGCCTGCCTCTCTCCGCGCTATCCCGTTAAAAGGCTGCAGCTGCCGCTCGCTGAGCCAGTCGTTGGTTGACTCCGTCTGGGATGAAGGCTGGAGGTTACCGGCGAGGGAAAGGAGACCTCTAGGCAGCTTTCCATTTGCAAAGTGAGCGGTAATTGCGAGGAGACAGCCTCCCCAGTTGGAATCAATAGTCTGCTTTCTCGCTGCTAAGGGCACTTTGGAGCAGTAGTAGGTCACTGAAGTAACTCCAGCACGCTGCTGACTGCGGAGTTGTAAAGAACTACGTGCGAGTGGCTGCAGGAGTGCTGGAAAACGCGTCCCTGTTGCCAGGGACGGAATAGTTCTCAAGTCATTAGAGCTTCTGGTCCTCTCCTTCCATTACACAGAGAGGGTCACTCCTGGGAGGGATGAGGATGAAGCAGTGATTTCTCTAAGTGTCGCTCTCGTGGAGGGGCTTAAAGCTGGCTTGAGAAGCCACCCCCTACTGCTACTAAATTCAGATTTACCTGAATTTCCCCAAATCTCTTCAAGCACAATGCTAGAAAATCTGAATCTTCTTCGGACTTTTGGGGGTTTTTTCTTTATCTTCTGGACAGCTTTTAACACAGCCTTAGTGGATGTGGTTGGATCGGAGCAGCAGATCCCCCTGTCTGTGTAAGTGTTTTCATGGTATTTCTCTCAGGACTGTGCTCAAGGATGAGAGTTGACTGCTCAAGTTCCTATTTCTTACTGCAGATATTTAGCTGTTCAAGGCACCTTTGCTCCTCTGTCATCTGTTTCTGAAATTGGGCACCACTTTAAATTTATTCTAGTGCATGTGTTGATGGAGTGTACCGTAGTAGAGCTTTATTTTAAATACTTCTATTTACCGAAGTTCACATTGTTATGTTAACTCATTGTTATGTGAGAAGTTACCATTCAGAACCATTCTGCTGTTTTATCTGCTCCTTTCATTCGTGTGTAAACACATTGTGTCAAAGTGTGTTTCTGGGCAAGATGATTGTTTAAATTTTAAAAAGTGCAGCTTGGGTGGTTTGGAGTCAGAGGCCTCACCTTGGCAGAGCATCTAGCCTGTGCTTGTACTTGAACAGCTTTGCTAATCTTTTGCTGTGCCTAGGTTCCTTTGTGAGCTCCTCAATGCAAAATTGCTTGAATCCTTATGAGTGCAGCTGAAGCAGCTACAGTCTGTGTTGCTTGCTATGACATGTGTATTACATTTCTTCCTGCCTCTTTTTTTTTCTCCCTCACAGTGTGAAGCTCTGGGCCTCAGCGTTTGGTGGGGAGATCAAATCTATTGCTGCCAAGTACTCGGGTTCCCAGCTCCTGCAGAAGGTAAGGATCTTTTTGCTTGTAATAAAGAAGGTTGTAAAAGGGAAGATGGAGGCAGATTTAATTTTTTAAATAGAAGAGCAGAACAGTGCATCCTTTGGTCTAAGATCTATTTTTGTATTGCATACTGGTCCCTGATGACTCTTTGCATTGCACTGCACTGTTTGGAGACTCCTTGATTAAAATGAGTTGGTTTTGAGAGGTGTGGGTTTTTTTTGCTTTCATTTGAAAGTAAACTCTGATGTGTTTTTTTTTAACTTGTAGTCTAGATTGCGGGTATTTTGTCTGGTTGCTGCATTGTGATGATCGTGTTTCTGTGTAAAAACAGCTGCTGCTTATGAAAAACATTAACTTCATTCAAAGAGCAGAATTAGGGCATATTTTATTATTTTTACCCTATGCTGTATGTATGCAATTGACTGTATTGGGAGAAGAAGGCTGCACTGTTGTTTGTCATCTCTGCAGTTTTTACAATCCCATTATTCCCCAATCATCTCAACCCAGTGCTGGGATGTATTACATCATTACAGATAAAAGGAATGAATGTGGTTATCTTCTTGCTCAGCTGCACAGCTGGGTAATAAGCTAGTGAAGTATTGCGAAAACTTGAGAAATTGGCATAAGTCTACATAATTTGGGCAGAAAGGGATGAGAAAGCGGATTTGAGTATTAGGCATATATCAAAGACTGCATCTAGACTAATTTAAACGTGCAGCCAATAATAAAGTTCTATATTGTAGGCCGCTCATTTTTATAGCAATTGCTGAAGAAGGCATTGTGAAAGACTGAGGGAAATATGTTGAAGGTTTTAAGATTGTGATTTTCTGGCATTTATTGTGATCCTTAAAATGTGGTGTGGAAATGGAAAAATGTTGAGATGCTCTCTGACTACAGAAACCAGTCATTCAACCCATATGTTAAATTTCTGCTTGTTTTAGAGGTGATTTCTGGTTTTGAATAACACTTGTTTGTTTGCCTATGAAGGAAGAGCTTCAGCTTGTAGCACTTATTTTGAAAGGCTTGTATACTTGTGAGATTATGTAATGGACAGTAAAGGTAGCAGTTCAAATAAACAGCTTATACTGTCTGCAGAAAAAGAAGCAACTAACTTAATACTTAAAGGCATGGGAGATCCTCAGTATTATGCCTTCTCATTGTTATGTACCCAGGATTGTGAAACCTGTCCTTAACTATGCTGCAATACAGAGAGAGCTATTAAGAACATGAATAGTTGAGGTCTTTCAATACGTTTCAAGGCCATTAAATAGCTTCTGTTGAGGAAAACTTTTAATGTAAATGAGGACATTTAATATTTATTGTATTTTTAGCTCGTGTTCTTTAAAATCTTGGTATAGTCTTCTATCTGTATAAACTCTTTAAGTTCATAATGCAGATGGACCTTTCAGTTTCAGTTAGTATCTGATCAGGTATTGTTAAAAGGCTTGAATTTTTTTTTACGGCCCTTAACAAGCAACTACATTTATTTAACTTTGGAACAGCTCCATGTGCAGCCATTTTTGAACTAAAATGACTTTAAAACATTTTTGTCTATCAGGAAAATATGGAATATGTTGTGTTTGACAATGGTGCTAAAATCCACAAACACTAAGTATAAGATCATGCTTCTATTCCTCGTAGTAGATACATTGTAGATATAGAATATATGGTTAATTGTTTCTGTAATGTGCTTTTCCCTTTGTAGTATCCTCATTCCTTCCTATAGGTTATTATAATTGTAGGCAATAGGAAGCTATTCACTTTACGTTTTCATCAGCATTCTTTCTGTTTCACTAACAAAACCCTATTCCTGTTTTTAAAGGTAGACAGTATACATTTATTCCACTTTGTTTTTGTTTCCTGCATTTGTTATGGTATTTCATCACAGAATTAAAGGAGAAAGATGGAATGCAGATTTGAGGGTGTTTTGAGTTCATTTGTTCTTCTATTGCATCCTCTACTCTTTTTTTTTCCCTCTTTTCTTGCCTTCTGATTATAATAGTTTGAGGAAAACTCTGGTACCTTTCAATTTCATTGAAAAATTCCATTTGTCTGTCCTTTTAAACTTGCCATTTCTTAGTGTTGGCCATGTCAGATGAGTCTGGATGACAGACGATTTTAGCATGAATCTTTTTGTATTGTTGTGAAACATATTTATTTTGTAAGCTTCTATGAATAAAAGCATATCAAACTTGAAGATTCGCAAGCATTTTCATCATGTGAAGTCAATGGCAGAAGTTGTCATAACAATTCACCACAGCGATAGCACATTAGTGCTGTAAATCCAAGCATGGTTGTTTGTTGTTTTTTTCCTTCCTCTGCCACTAGCCAGACATGAAGAATCCATTCGGTGTTTACTGTGTGCTGAGTGATCAGAATTAATGTCTTCTTAAAGGCAAGATTCCACTTGTAGAGGCAGAATGCCTTCTAATCTTAAGTGGATGAATCAATACTTTTTGATCATGAATTAAGCATCATTAGTGAATGAAGATATAAAAATGTGTATAATTACGTATTGCGCAGTATGGATTTATTAATTATCAACTGCTTTGCAGTGCCATTTAGTTTAATAAAAGGTTGACAAATGAAAAATTAATGTAAAGGCTATTTGGTTCACTTTGTTAGCATAGATGATGTGTGCTACTTTCAAAGAAACGGGTGATAAACCGAGGTCCTATTGACACAATCTTTTATGCAAATGCTTTACTCACTAAAATTCATGAGACCCGTCTTGAGTTTTCATTGAGAAAATGAAATTATGTGAGATCCTCAGTTAAAAAAATGGTCAGATTGTAACTCTGAGTATCGATACAGGTATTGCAAATCCTGAGTATCGCTGCGCTGTGAACAGAAAATGAGTAACCAGCACTGCAGTCCTATTGAGTTTTGAAATGTGTAAGAATATTTTCATCACTTTTTTTAAAAAAAGCAACGTTGTTTATCTCAACTGAGTGTTTTTATAATTTCATTCTGTTGTAATAATCTTCTCTGAGTATATCGTTACGCCTTCTAACACTATGTGGGATATACGACTTTTCCTGCAATTGGCTTTAGATAAAATACAGGGACTGTAAATAGTTCAGAAAATAATAATAATAGCTCAGTAAATATTTTAGAAGTGAAGATGAGATTTTAAAGCAAATTAATACTTTTAAATGTTTTATTTTAATGCTGTATTACTTTCAGAGTGAAGGAAGGCCATTCTGTGTTCAAAACACCAAGCATAAGAAAATAGGACAATATTATTCGTAAATTAGCTGGTTTATGGAGGTTTTACAGTTGTCATGTAGATTTGGCAACATAAATGAAGCTGTTTGGTGCATGCTCTTCACCTGGCTAGAAAATACTTCTGGGGCCTAAAATCTATTCAAATTTTAATTGTTTCTTAGGTTACCTGTAGCACAGTATGACAGAATTTTTTCTCCTCATACTTGGAAAAGGCATCTGCTTTATTTGAATCCTGATG